TTTCACACATTTATATATTTTTAAGGCCACTGGATGGCGGTCTTCTCACTTGAATTGTTTGTTTTGCCTGCAGCCTGCACTCTATTTTGATGTGAAATGTTGCATTTATTGAATTTTTATTTTTTTTATAATAAAAAAAATATTATATTAATTCTAATGGAAAAAATTGCTCATAAAAATTATATAATTAATACAAAGTATCATAAAAATCTTTACAAATTCTAAATAATAATAAAAAAAAAATATTATTGAACAAGAATTTATTTGATTGGTTTTCCTGGGGGGAAAAAAAATTACATTTTAAGGCTTCTGTCTTTTTAAGGCTTTTTGACCGGGAGGAAGCTAAGTGTAACCCCTAAACGAAGAAGCCAGAGGGTTAAAGATAAGTGAAATACATATAATCTTTCAATATTTCAGTGATAAACTTGGATATGTTACAGCTTTTAAATGATTATAAATGGAGTGCTCTTTATAATCCATTCAGAATTTGAATAAAAGTTTTGTTTTTCATGCTGTTAAGAGGACCAACGGTCACATCCACATGCAAATGCAGGATTCACTCTCAAAATTACAACGATTGAAATACCAACCAATGGAAGGAACAAAAATATAATGTCAAAATAGATTTTTTCACCCCAAAAGGAAAACTCTGTCAGTAATTACTCTCCCTCATGTTATTCAACCCCGTAAGACTTTCGCTCATCTTCGCAACACAAATTAAGATATTTTTGATTAAATCTGAGAGCTGGATCACTCCTCCATAGGCTTCTTAAGGGATCGAAACTTGCCGGCAGAGAAAAGTTATGAAAGACATCGTTAAAATAGTCCGAGTGACTACAGTGGCTCAACCTTAAGTTTATCAAGCGACGAGAATACTTTTTGTGCGCAAAAAACAAACCAAAATAACGACTTTATTCAACTAATCATTTCCTTCCCTGTGGGCCTCGAGATTTCACATAGTGGAATTGCGCAACGGTTTTGTGTTGTACGTCACACGCAGGCTCACTATTGGCCGACGCTGGTCATGTGTGTGATGCGTGTGATGTACAACCTAGAAGCTTTGCGCAGTTTCACTACGTGAAATATCACGGCCCACAGAGAAGGAAATGAATAGTTGAATAAAGTCGTTATTTTTGTTTGTTTTTTGCGCACAAAAAGTATTCTCGTCGCTTGATAAACTTAAGGTTGAGCCACTGTAGTCACTCGGACTATTTTAACGATGTCTTTCATAACTTTTCTCTGCCGGCAAGTTTCGATCCCTTAAGAAGCCTATGGAGGAGTGATCCAGCTCTCAGATTTAATCAAAAATATCTTAATTTGTGTTGCGAAGATGAACGAAAGTCTTACGGGGTTGAACAACATGAGGGACAGTAATTACTGACAGAGTTCACATTTTTGGGTGAACTAACCCTTTAAAAATTAAGTGCATTAAAAAACAGATTCATGGAAACATATTTGATTTTGCGCATCAAAATTTAAAATGCTTGTTTCTAAGGCGCGTTTATAAAAGCCACTTAAATGCCACAATTGATCTAAGGCCTAATCCGGGCTTAATCTAAACCCTGACTGTGAAACCAGGCCTAAGTGTTTAATACTCTACGACAGAAAAACAGAAATAAAGAGTAAAATGTCAACTCTTTGAGCGTGTTGTGCTGCTGTGTAACTTGATCTCCATCCTCCAGAGAGCCTTCACCAATGACCTGCTTCTTTGAGCAATATAGAAATACTGTATTATTTATAGTAATGTTGATTTCCCACACATCCTTTATTGATCAGTATCAGTAACTCGATACAGTGTTTTATAGAGCGTGTGCCGCAGGCTATTAGTGGTGTTTATAGTAATCGACTTGCTTTGTTACGTTGCATTCAACACTAGCTAAGGGTTTTCTCAGGGTAACTGGTGTCTATAATGGCTCTTCACAACACTGAAGCCTGGATCACATTTAGGTTCTGGCTTCCTAGATCACGCTGTTCAGAGAAACGCTACTGAGGATGCCATCAGATTGTACACAACTCTGCTTGCACATGGGCAGCTGTCGCGTTCATGTGGTTTTGCTCTGAATGACGTCAAACCTGCTGCTCCATTATTTTAAAAATGAGTGACTCACACAAACTAGAAATTGCAGTAACACAAATACAGAACCGAAATTAAAAGTGACCTATTAATACTAACACTTTATATTCTATTTATTAAAGACTTCACAAAACTTGCTTGCTAACTGGGATTCTCACATCACTTATATATTGTTGCTCTTTGGTTAGTTTAATTTATTTTATTGTTCTCCTCTTTTGATAAAAGCATCTGCTAAATGAGTACAAGTAAAATGTAAATCTAAGACTAACTTTTCTTTAAATGACACACTGACTTGTGTTCCTGGAGCTCGACTGGTACAACATGCTCAAAACAAATCAAGGTCATGGGTTTTATTCCCAGGGAGCACATTCACTGGCAAAATGTAGACTTAAAGGGTTAGTTCAGCCAAAAATGAAAATGATCCCATAATTTACTCATTCTCAAGCCATTTTGCCTTTCAGCCAAACACAATCAGAGTTATATTAGAAAATACCCTGGCTCTTCCAAGCTTTATAATGGGAGTGAATGGTACCTTAGATTTTGAAGGCCAAAAAAATGCATCATAAAAGTGATCCATACGACTTAATAAAGATCTTCTGAAGCGAGGCGTTTGTGTAAGAAAAATATCCATATTTATAACTTTATGAACTATAATCACTGGCTTCAGACAGACGGCCGTACGCGAGTCGAAGAGTGACCTCTGACCCGATGCATGACGTATTGAGGAACGCAGAAGCGCAGAGGATAGAGCAAAATGAAACACTGGTCACGAATTAAACTTTTTAAAGAGAAATGTGGCAGGAGCTTGAGTTTGTTTGAACCGCGAGAGAAGCTTACGCTACTCCTACATCCTTTGGCATGCGTCGGGTCAGAGGTCAGAGGTCACTCTCCCACCGGAACTAGACTCGTGTACAGACGTTACGTGAAGACAGTGATTATAGTTTATAAAGTTATAAATATGGATATTTTTCTCACAAAAACGCATGGTTTTGCTGGAGTCATTGGGATTACTTTTATGATGGATGGATGCACTTTTTTGGCCTTCAAAATCTAAGGTACCATTCACTCCCATTATAAAGCTTGGAAGAGCCAAGATATTTTTAATATAACTCTGATTGTGTTTGGCTGAAAGAAGAAACTCATATACACCAAGGATGGCTTGAGGGTGAGTAAATTATGGGAGGATTTTCATTTTTGGGTAAACTATCCCTTTAAAATGTACTTACTGTAATTCTCTATGAATAAACATGACAGTCAAATCAAATGCATACATGCGGGAGTAGTGGGATTTCCCTGCCTCCACATTTCTTGAATCCCCAGTATAGGGATAGGTTTTATACCTTATTTATTTAGGTCAAACATGATTCATTTCTGACAATATAGATGGTGAAATAAGTTTTCCTTCCGACATATTAAAACATGCATTACAGAGTAGAGCGGTAATAACTGGATTAATATTATGTTGAAATTTTAGATCGAATGTTCATAAATGGCATGCCAACAGTTTTACTAGCTAATACTGTCCTTGACGTGATTGACTGCCACCACTCTTTCATCACACCAAAACTAATTTCAATTTTATTTTGTTGTAGATTTTATTTTCAGCGGTGCAACAGTGTGCGACACTACGACTTACACTGGACTAAGATTGAATGAAGACAAATTGTTTGACAGCTTGGGCCTACAAATCATTGAAATCAATTAATAGTCAACAAGTTAATTGTTAAAACCGTATTTTATTTAGTTTAAACAATTGGGCTATTTCTATATTTTACTGTTCGTTTTATATGATTAAACTGTTTATTTTTCTACATTGTCTAAATATTTACACATATATGCATTCAAATTCCGAAAACATGTCGAAGTCAAATATCACATAAAAATAACATTATTTATTATATGGGATTCTAATTAGCTACTCATTATTTCCGGTCATTTTACTGTAATATAGGAAACAACTTATTTTTTTTAGCATAAAATAAATTAAATTCAACAAATAAAACCATAATGTATAAATCTCAACTATTGAAATATTGTTAGAGGTTTCATTGTAGCTAAATTACTTTCATATTTGGAGTGAAATATGACTTAGACAATTTGACAAATTAAGTGAAATTCACCCCTGTATCAAAGCACAGAAACAAAAAGGGTCTAAATCTGGGGAAAATAACAACATGGTAAATCAAACTGATAACCTTGAGCTATAGAGCACAGAGTTGGTCAGATTGCCTATGCATTGTAAGTAAGCTTTTAAATTATTATTATTTTGTCATCTGAGCGGTAATAAGCACGCTGATTCAGGCAAAAGAGTAAAAACACAAATCATAGCAAAACATAATAGCAACTTAATCTGCAAAAGATTAATTAAAATACACAAAACTTTGGCTTTGTTGGACTGGAAAAGCTGAACCTACGGCAGCATTCAATAGCAGGAGGTTAGGGGGTGTTCAGAACTTTAAGGGTGTGGTGAACAGGACAAGTTTCACACACACACACACACACACACACACACACATATATATATATATATATATATATATATATATATATATAAACAGATACCGTCTAAGCTAATAGACTCATAAGTGTCTTTGATATATTTATGCAGATGTGAAAACATCTGGATTGACCTTATTACTGCAGTATAGATGCCTTATTACCCACAGCTGTCAGGAGACTTTACCTGACACTTGAAGAGTTTATACTCTGCAACAGTAACAGAAATAAAGAGATACATCATGTATGTAAAAGATCAACTCTTTGAGCGTGTTGTGCTGATGTGTAACTTGATCCTCCTGATCACATCTCCAGCCTCTTTGTTCAGACCAACCAGCGAAACATTCTCAAAATACATCCCTGAACACTTTCATTAGGAGAAAAAACATTAGGAAAAGTTCGTTTAAAGTATTTAGAGATGTCAACTTACATAGTGTTTGTTGGGGTTTCTTCTCTTTTGCACGTCTTGAACAGTTACTTCTAGTACAGTCCGCCGTGGCATGTTGTAACACTCTCAGACTAAAAACAGATACACAATAACCTCAGAGCCACAGCAGAAAATCTGATGAAGTTTTCCGCATGGATTTAAAGTCATTCGCTTGTTTGTCTATCCGTTTCTGCGGGTTTATAGTCCACGTCGGATTTCCTGCAGTCTGGACCGAGTGAACTCCCAGCCTATCCCAGCTCACCGACTCTAATTTAATTAAAGCCCACCGTATTCACACACATCCTACTATGGGATTCAATGGCTCATGAATATTAAATACGTACCGCGACGTTCGCCCAACAACCCTCACTGATTGGCTGAAGGGTAGCCATTGGTAAGCGGGCGTTCGCCAGCTTCCGAATTATTTATTCCAAATATGGTGAAGAGTTGCCTTATAAATATTAATTAGGCTACGTGACTAGACGATTACTGGGAATGCCAGTACGACTACATTTATATTCATGAATTATTCCTTCGCCATAGTATGATTCGTCATTTAGCTCTCAGATGAGACCAACCCAGTGGGATCACTTAAAGGGAAAGCGCACAATAATTTGATACAAATGTAATTTTTACCCTCTGTGCATAGAGCTCACGGCAAAAATGTAGCAAATATTTTACTTTTTTTTTTTTTGCAGTGAACATGAACTGTTCAGGAATACAAAACACAAGGCCTGCCACAACATCCCCCCCCCCCCCACCCACCCCCACCCCCCTATTGTTTATTCACAATTATGCAGCATCATCCATGCTTTTTCTTTCGTGGGATGCTTGCAAAATAGTTACCATAACAACGTGTGTAGGTATATGTGCAAATTAGCAATGCGACACAAACTGTAAATTCTAGAGAGAGAGAGAGAGAGAGAGAGAGAGAGAGAGAGAGAGAGAGAGAGAGAGAGAGAGAGAGAGAGAGAGAGAGAGAGAGAGAGAGAGAGAGAGAGAGAGAGAGAGAGAGACCAAATATCTTTTTTACGCAAGGAAAACATTAGACATTAAAAACAAATAAAGAAGAAAAGGATTGAAGATTGATGAGGTTACAGTAAATGGCATAATGCTGTCATGTTGCCAGTATTCGATTTAGTAAAATATGACTGAGATGTATTTGAAAACATGGATGTCTTACATTCTCATTAAAACTACTAGTAAATCATTTGATCACAAATCTATTTGCAGTTCATAGTCTGAGATTTTTTTATTTTCACATCATTCAATCAAGTGAATTAATTTTAGGAAGTGAATTTAATATGTGTGAGAAGGTGTGGAGTAAATCTGAAAAAAGATAATAGGCTAATAATAATAATAATTAGAGGATTAATAATAAGAATTATCATTACTGTTGTTATTTCCCTTTTTCTGTAGATTTGTGCTGCCATCTTGTGGTACATTCATGAAATAAATACTTTTACTGAAGTTTTAAAGCCATGCACCATGATTCCTGATGAAAGCATTTAGAATCACTGATTTAATCGTCCATAACCGTGTCTCATATGAAGTGCGAGGGATCAGAGCCATCACACATCTGGAGTTCCAGGTGTGAGGTGATGCCAGAGAAGTTCTCCTGTTGTGGGAACGGGAACCCATGGCCTTTCCCTGAACAACAGAGCCAAAGTAACCATATGGACGGATGTTGAAGATCTTCACACAGTGCACTGAGGAAAAGACACAGAATGAACAAGCAGCACAGCTGATGTAGAGGGAGGTAAATATGGGTCAAAGACAAAAAAGTAGGCTACGTCTAGTTTGAAAACTAGTTTAAAATGCACGTGCCCAAGTCCATATTAAATGTAATGTAACGACATAGCAATTGTACGAATTTTACGAGGTGGCTAATTCGTACGAATTCATACGACCTCACTCGTACAAATTCGTACGATTTTTGTTAATTCGTACATATTTTGCGAGTTACCAAATTTTCGTATGAATTCGTATTAATGACCAACCTCTGACCCCGCCCCTAAACCTACCGTGGGTTTAGGTACGAATTCGTACGAATTAGCCACCTTTTAATCACTCGTACGAATTGGTCGTGAGAGCGTGCGTTGGTATGTCATATATACCTTTGTTATAGAGTTTTACACCATCATATTGCACATGTTGCTCATTGCACAGAGTCTCTCACTGGTCTCCCAACTGGACCATCGAGGTTTCCAGAAAAAGGAGCGTTGATGATGCCGTAATCACTGCATACAATATCAATTCCCTCGTGGATACCTCCATCACTGAAGATACAAAAGAAATCACGTGTCTTAAAAAGCAACAACGCAAGAGTTGTAGTTACTGTTCTGGAAAATGCTAAAACAAATAGAAAAATGTTTAATGTATAAAAGTTTGTAAGTTCGTTTCAGGCTTCTGATTGGTCAAAAGAGCATTTCGGCAAAACTAAAATACACAACATTAAAACAACATGATACAAAACACCTGTTTATCATATGATCACGCAGCACCGAGGTATTTTTGTTGCATATCATCATGTTCTGTTATGTCAGGGACTATAACGTTTAGCAGAAGAATGCCACTTAAGGAATTTGCCTAATAAAATAGTGCTTTGGAGGTGGTTCCAATATTTCAAGCATTTGGGTTTTCAGAGTGGTTGATTATTAAGCGGACAGATTTCTTTTTTTTTTCTTTTTTTTTTTTAAATGAAGGTCACATTTTCTCATTATTATCATCATTGACAAATGACAGAAGACATTTGCAAGTTTTAGTTCCTACAATGGATATATACGTCTTTTTGTTTTCTGTCTTATAAAGTATCCCATTTCTATTGTGGTGTGAGAAACTATTACAAACAATTCAGTGTGTGATCAAACTGAATCGCAAACCATTTCAGATCTTTTTGCAAACACGTTTGACTGATTGATCTTGGGTCCCTAATTCTGATTCTAAAAAGCTGATAGAAAACATTCAAATTGATTGCTGAAATATTATCAGAGAAAAGGATTCTCGGGTCGATATACGTTCCATTTACATATAAGGATATGTCAGTAATATTTTACTGGGGTACAGCAGTATTTCTCTGGGGCTTGTCCCCCAGTAAAAAGGGTCTAGAGACGTCCCCACCGCCAGTCCTGTCCAGCTTGATTGACTCCCTTGTTCCACCCAGGACTCTAGCTCGTCCTCCTTAGCTGGTGGACTCCTTAGTTTTGGCCTGGACCCTAGCCTTTCTTGTCGCCCTAGCCAAGGTTTTCCAATCCTCAGCCTCCACCTTAGCTTTCCGATCCCTCGACTTCACTGTGGTCCTCCATCCTTTTGGCTCCACCATGGGCCTTCGTCTCCCCAGCTCCACATTGGTTGGCTGCATCTAGCTCTGAGGAGTGGGATGTTGAATATGGTGATGTTTACACACACATAGTGACAAGAACCACACAACCTGTCCATTATGGGTTGAATCATACGGCTTCTTTTATTTCAGGTTTTCCACAATGAGTTGTAGAGGTCCTGCAAGCATTTATATTCTGCTCATGTTACGAACCCTGTGATAGGTCATTTATCATCTGCATCGTCCTGGAGAGGGACATATCTATTCTCCAGACCATGTGTAATTTCATTCATTGCACATCATATGGTTCTGCAAGCAGATCTAAACAGATTTTTTTTTAATGTTATAGATGAGGGCATGGGATTAACTCCTGAAGCAGTAAATTTAGTTACTGGGCCACAGATTTTACCCTCTGTGCCACCAAGTCAACGGCTCGCTCTATTGGCCGTTCTATGGTGAGTATGGTTGCTAACGGAGTGGCATTTGTGGTTAAACTGGATGGATTAAAGAAAAGAGTAGCAGTAGTATTGCTGCCCCAATCCCTTCCACCCAACCAATCCTTTTAAGTTATCGGGACATAAGGTTTTTAGGACAGTTTGCTCCCCTAGAAGCTGGGCACTCCCTTTTTATTCAAGCACATGGTACTTCTCTCGAAACAGTAACAGCTTGTAACTTCTGCCGAATGTGTCACTTTAGGTCTAATTTCAGAGGTAAACACCACGCTTTAACGGCACACTAGTGCAGGGCAGGGCGGGGCGCGGCGGGGCGGGGCGGGGTGTTGTGGGGTGGGGGTTCTGCACCTATGGACTCTGAAAGACCTGAAAGTCATCTCACTTGGCAAATAAATTGCCTGGAGATGATGGTAGTACTTCTGCCTTTTCAATAGCAAATTCTCAAAATGTGAACAAACTTCAAAGTCAGAAGCACCAGAATGTACATGCAAAGATGGGAATTACCCCACTTTTTATAATAGGCCTTGAAGGCAGTCGAAAATTTTAGTTGTACTGTTCTGGAACAGTGTTGTAAATAAGCACCGGTTTCTTATTGTGTCCTCTTTTGGAAGGCCAAACAAAGTAGCCTGGCGTTCGCAAACAAAAAACACATCGTCTCCATGACATGGCGGTGCCGGCGGCAACTATAATACAGCGAGAATAAAAGTTCCTCCTTTTTTCTTTGCGTATACATTTGGGCGGTGTTACGAAACTGCCCCCACACACTGGCGTAGATTTGTGGGGGTGTGTTTGAATGAAGCGTTTTAGGAAGGCGTGGCAGAGCCTTAACATTTATTAAAGGGTAACTAAACACTAAACCAACTTTTCTTAATTAATGATCTGTAAAACTGGGGCTTTATTAGTGCTGTTCATTGATTCGAGTAACTTTTTTGACATTTGGGTATAAAGTCTTTTAATTCTACAATATATGGTGTAAAAACGTCTGAGTGCTGCCCTCTTCAGGTTGAACGGTGGCTACTGCAGTTGAATTTTCCTATTGGATGTTTGCGGTAGTTCGTGACGGTAGCGGTGAGAGCTGACGTAAGCAGGTTTCAGCTTACCACGCCCTTGGTACGAGCTACCACGCCCATGGCAGTATAAAAACCATCTTAGCGAGTCAGGAGTTGGAATTGCGAGTATTGAAAACGATCAGGATAGAGTGTCCGTTCATCCCCTCTATCTCCGCTGGGCTCCGCCCACTTTTCCAGCATTTTTCAAATATTGCCAGCGGGTGGAGTCAGGCTCTGACCAGGGGTTTAGTTACCCTTTAAGTATGACTCTTTAGGTTTGACACTTTAAGCTTTATAACTGCAGATCTTATGCATGCACAAACAGCTACATAACACACTAAAGAAAAAGGAAAACAAGAAATCGCATCATATGATAAAATGAATAAGATGATTACTACATAATAAAAATATAAAGTACTACTATATTCATTAAAACATGATTTTATTAAGCAATTTCATTAAACACTATCC